GTGGTCTCTCTCTATGAACCAATACCATGTGGTTTCTCTCTATGGACCAATACCATGTGGTTTCTCTCTATGGACCAATACCATGTGGTTTCTCTCTATGGACCAATACCATGTGGTTTCTCTCTATGGACCAATAACATGTGGTCTCTCTCTATGAACCAATACCATGTGGTCTCTCTCTATGAACCAATACCATGTGGTCTCTCTCTATGGACCAATACCATGTGGTCTCTCTCTATAGACCAATACCATGTGGTCTCTCTCTATGGACCAATACCATGTGGTCTCTCTCTATGAACCAATACCATGTGGTTTCTCTCTATGGACCAATACCATGTGGTCTCTCTCTATGGACCAATACCATGTGGTCTCTCTCTATGAACCAATACCATGTGGTCTCTCTCTATGGACCAATACCATGTGGTCTCTCTCTATGAACCAATACCATGTGGTCTCTCTCTATGGACCAATACCATGTGGTCTCTCTCTATGGACCAATACCATGTGGTCTCTCTCTATGAACCAATACCATGTGGTCTCTCTCTATGAACCAATACCATGTGGTCTCTCTCTATGGACCAATACCATGTGGTCTCTCTCTATGAACCAATACCATGTGGTCTCTCTCTATGGACCAATACCATGTGGTTTCTCTCTATGGACCAATAACATGTGGTTTCTCTCTATGGATCAATACCATGTGGTCTCTCTCTATGAACCAATACCATGTGGTCTCTCTCTATGAACCAATACCATGTGGTCTCTCTCTATGGACCAATACCATTTGGTCTCTCTCTATGGACCAATACCATGTGGTCTCTCTCTATGGACCAATACCATGTGGTTTCTCTCTATGGACCAATACCATGAGGTCTCTCTCTATGGACCAATACCATGTGGTCTCTCTCTATGAACCAATACCATGTGGTCTCTCTCTATGGACCAATACCATGTGGTCTCTCTCTATGGACCAATACCATGTGGTCTCTCTCTATGGACCAATACCATGTGGTCTCTCTCTATGAACCAATACCATGTGGTCTCTCTCTATGAACCAATACCATGTGGTTTCTCTCTATGGACCAATACCATGTGGTCTCTCTCTATGGACCAATACCATGTGGTCTCTCTCTATGAACCAATACCATGTGGTCTCTCTCTATGGACCAATACCATGTGGTCTCTCTCTATGAACCAATACCATGTGGTCTCTCTCTATGAACCAATACCATGTGGTTTCTCTCTATGGACCAATACCATGTGGTTTCTCTCTATGGACCAATACCATGTGGTCTCTCTCTATGGACCAATACCATGTGGTCTCTCTCTATGGACCAATACCATGTGGTCTCTCTCTATGGACCAATACCATGTGGTCTCTCTCTATGAACCAATACCATGTGGTCTCTCTCTATGGACCAATACCATGTGGTCTCTCTCTATGGACCAATACCATGTGGTCTCTCTCTATGAACCAATACCATGTGGTTTCTCTCTATGGACCAATACCATGTGGTCTCTCTCTATGGACCAATACCATGTGGTCTCTCTCTATGGACCAATACCATGTGTTCTCTCTCTATGGACCAATACCATGTGGTCTCTCTCTATGGACCAATACCATGTGGTCTCTCTCTATGAACCAATACCATGTGGTCTCTCTCTATGGACCAATACCATGTGGTCTCTCTCTATGAACCAATACCATGTGGTTTCTCTCTATGGACCAATACCATGTGGTCTCTCTCTATGGACCAATACCATGTGGTTTCTCTCTATGGACCAATACCATGTGGTCTCTCTCTATGGACCAATACCATGTGGTTTCTCTCTATGGACCAATACCATGTGGTCTCTCTCTATGGACCAATACCATGTGTTCTATATTGTCTGTGTTTGAACTGTTGATTTTCTGATCTGTTGTTCAAGAATACATAGAATTGAATGTCGCCCTTTACAGAAGGACCAGGACCAAGACTAGAAAAAGAACCAGACTCAGACCAAGGTACAGACTTGGCTTTAGGCTTTAGAACAATATTCACCGACGGGACAAAGAAGATCGTGTTTCAAAGATATACAAAAAATGAATAATATAAATAATAATAATAGAAATAACAGAAAATACAGAAACAGTTTTGTTCCAAGACCAAGACCTGGACCAAGACCCAGGCCAAGACCCAGACCTAGACCAAGACACAGACCAAGACGTGGACCAAGACCAGAACCAAGACCCGGACCAAGAACTGGACCAAGAACTGGACCAAGACGTGGACCAAGACCTGGACCAAGACCAGGACCAAGACCAGAACCAAGACCTGGAACAAAATCCAGACCAAGACCCAGACCAAGACCAGGACCATGACCCAGACCAAGACGTGGACCAAGACCCGGACCAAGACCCAGACCAAGACCTGGACCAAGACGTGCACCAAGACCTGGACCAAGACCAGGACCAAGACCAGAACCAAGACCTGGAACAAAATCCAGACCAAGACCCAGACCAAGATCAGGACCATGACCCAGACCAAGACCTGGACCAAGACGTGGACCAAGACGTGGACCAAGACCCGGACCAAGACCCGGACCAAGACCTGGACCAAGACCCGGACCAAGACCTGGACCAAGACCCGGACCAAGAGTTGGACAGAGACCTGGACCAAGACCTGGACCAAGATCAGGCCCAGGATCATGACCATGCCTGTGATAAAAAACAAGTCAAAATTTGAGATTCTAACCAAGCCTCAAAACAATATTTGCCAACGGGACAAACAAAATAATCTTGTTTTAAAAAGATACAAGAAATGTCTCAGTTGGAATGAGAAAATAAAGCAACAGTTCTTTAGATAAAACTAAATGTGTTTGTCTAATTGGAGAATCTTGTTTAAACACAGTCAGATTGAGATCGAAAACCCTCGATTCAAGCATTTATCACCTCATGTTATATCATCTTTTGCAGTGTACAGTCTGAGCCAGTCCAGGTCTGTCCTCGGTCCTCTCCGTCTCGTCCCTGGTTCTCCTCCTGGGCCTGGAGCAGCCTCGTAAACAGCCATAAGCAGATAATGGAACTTGTTGTTTGGCTCATATCATTTGATGGGAAATCTATGGCCCTATTCAAATGAGAGAGCAGTAAATAAGGTTTTGTGGCTCGCGGTTCGCAGGCGGCCGGACGGCGAGCGAAGACGGCAGTAAATAAGAAACTGCAGAATCTACTCCCAGAAAGGAACGGTTCACTCCTGGATAAAGGCTAAAACTGTGGAGAAATAGACTGGTCCAGAGGCCGACAACCAGGATATGAATGGTATGTGTAGTTTATTGATAAAGAGAGAGATACATCACAGCAGCAGAGGTGGAGTAGCCTCTGGGTGGAGCAGGACAGGTCACAGCAGCAGAGGTGGAGTAGCCTTTGGGTGGAGCAGGACGAGCCAGCAGCAGAGGTGGAGTAGCCTTTGGGTGGAGCAGGACAGGTCACAGCAGCAGAGGTGGAGTAGCCTCTGGGTGGAGCAGGACGGTCACAGCAGCAGAGGTGGAGTAGCCTCTGGGTGGAGCAGGACGGGTCACAGCAGCAGAGGTGGAGTAGCCTCTGGGTGGAGCAGGACAGGTCACAGCAGCAGAGGTGGAGTAGCCTCTGGGTGGAGCAGGACGGGTCACAGCAGTAGAGGTGGAGTAGCCTCTGGGTGGAGCAGGACGGGTCACAGCAGCAGAGGTGGAGTAGCCTCTGGGTGGAGCAGGACAGGTCACAGCAGCAGAGGTGGAGTAGCCTCTGGGTGGAGCAGGACGGGTCACAGCAGCAGAGGTGGAGTAGCCTCTGGGTGGAGCAGGACAGGTCACAGCAGCAGAGGTGGAGTAGTCGCTTGGTTCAGACCATTTTCTCTGCTCTAGTCCAAAGTAAAATGCTAAATGCTTCATTAGCATATTTCAGAAAGTTAGCATTCCTCCAGTGGATTTTCACCTGATCCACTTGGTTCGGACCATGAATCCTCTCTGCTCTGGTCTGGACCAGTGTAAAACCATGAACACTGTACTGCAGCAACGTGTCAGGTAGAAAAAAGGAATACAAAACAACACCTGTGTCAGAGACACTCAGGACCTGCAGCCGTTTTCCAGAACATTTAAAAGGGAGACAAAAGAGAGACCAGAGATCTATTACTTGATTTCATAATTTATTATTTTATTGTTTAATTGTTGACCTTGAACTATTGTAAATGTTTTTGGTGGTAGGGGAAACCGGAGCACCCGGAGAAAACCTACGCAGACACGGGGAGAATCTCATGGACTCACAGTACCCAGCTCTGGAACTCTGCCCCCCTTTCGCTGGAGAGAGATCAGGGAGACGAGAGAGAGACCAGAGAGACTTCTGCAGAAGAAGTTGTACATTTCTCAGTCGTTCCAAACACAACATCTAGAAGCAGCAGAGAAGAAGGAGTCGGACTCTCCACCTCAGAAGCTACAGCTACAAACAGCCTGATGCCCTGGACCAGTCCAACCTGCTGCTTACAACCTATATTTCCAGGCTGAGAGTCCTTCTCCTCCATCTTTCTCTGACGACGTTGACTTGAAATGTCCTAAAAATGTACAGCTACAAGACATCCTGAAAGACCGGAAAGAAAGGCCAAAGGGAAAAATCAGAGAGAAAGATCAGAGATCTGTGTTTGTGTCTTCGCCTTTTCCTGGAGTTTTGCCACAAGAATACTGACCATCATCAACTGGGCCCTCAATTGATTCCATCTGTTCATCTTGTAAGGGAGGCCCAGGAGACGCTCCCTGACCTGTGAGGACGGCAGGGTACACCTTCAACAGCTGGAAGGAGTTGACCCATGTGGTGGTTGAAGGTGCAATGGGATCACAGCGGATCTACAGGTAGAACAAGTTTTGTGATCTACAATTGAACAAATCTGTGACTCCCAACTCCAGAACAAAATTCCCCCATTCCCCTTTCAGACTTTACATTTTAATTAGCAGCTACAGCGTCTGACCTGTGCTGCTGAGAATGTAGTCTTCTCTTACTGGTCAAACCGTTTCATCAGGGCTTCAACGTTCTTCCCCTTGACCCGGTTCCTCTTCAGCTCGGACCCCTGCTGTTGTTTGTTCTGCTCAAGTTGACCCTCATAAAACTGAGTCCGATTTTTCACGTTTTCCTTAGACGCAGAGTTCTCCTCTCTAACATCTTGTACATCTGTTAGCATCTCTACGCTAGCCACAGATTGCGTCTGTGTTTCACTCATAGACGGCTTCTCCAGGGGTACGACCTCACTTATTTGTTGCTCCACCCGTTTACCTTCCACCTGCTCCTTAAACATCTCCTTGAAAACTGGCAACTCCCCGAGGTGATCCTTAAACACCTTCTTCTGCAGCAGTTGTAATTCTACCAATTTTTCACAAGCCTGCTTATGTTCAGCCTCATGTTTACGTGAGACTTCTCTGGACTCTTCCAACTCTTTCTCCAGCCTTTGGATCAGCTCGACAGCCCAAGTGTACTCCTCTTTTACCTCCTCAAACTCCTGGAGTTGGCGTTCTAGCATCTCAATCTTCTTGCATTGATTTGCACTCTCATTATTTTGTTGTTCTGAACCTTTGCCAACTGAGACCTGTTTTAAAGACCTAATCTCCCCAAAGTCCTCCTTAAACACCTTCTTCTGTGACAGTTGCAGCTCTATCAACTTCTCACAAGCCTCTTTATGTTCTGTCTCATGTTTACGTGAGATTTCGTTTGCTTTTTCCAACTCTCTCTCCAGACTTTGATTCTGCTCAACGGACAAAGAATACTTCACTTTCAACTCCTCAAAGTCCTGCAGTTGGTGTTCTAGAGTCTCAATCCTCGTCTTATAACTAACTCTCTCACTAATCTGTTTCTCCAAACTTCTTCTCACGGAGACCTGTTCTTCCAAACACTGGTTCAACATTTTCAGGTCCTCCATGTGCTCCTTAAACTCTCCCTCCAGACTTTGATTCTGCTCAACGGACAAAGAATACTTCACTTTTAACTCTTCAAAGTCCTGCAGTTCCAGCATCTCCATCTTCTCTCTCTGTCTGTCACTCTCATTAATCTCTTTTTCTAAACGCTCTTCCAAACACTGTTTTACAGACTGCATCTCCTCCAATTGCTCTTTCTGTAAAAGTTGCAGCTCTCTCAACGTCTCACAAGCCTCCTGACGCTCTGACTCATGTCTACATGAGTTGTTGTTGGCTTGTTCCAGATCTTTCTCCAGAGAGTGATTCAAACTTTGCAGCTGCATCAGTTTCTCACAAGCCTCCTGATGTTCTGCCTCCTTCTTCGCCAACTTGTGTCTAGCTTCATCCAACTCTACCTTAGACTCGGCCTCTTTAACTCGCAGGGCCGTCACGACACTCTGACATTCCTCATGCCATGGATCTATAATAATTACTGGATAGAGTATTACTATCTTATAGCTGTCCCACCCATGGACACAGGGGGCGCTGTGGTACTGCAGACTAAATTCATGAGGGCGACCCAGAAAAAAGTTCCATAGAACTCAATGTAAATTAAACGGCTCGACCTCAGCTGACAGAGAACCTGACAGAGAACCTGAAAGAAAACCTGACAGAGAACCTACGGCTTTCACAAAGATCGGATTTTGTGGGGATTTTAGTTTCCCTTTTTTTCTCCTTAAATCCTTCAGTTTTCTTTAAATCTACACTTTACAAACTCTGCACGTTTCCTTCCCGCTCTGACTCCGCTCTTCCGCTGCTCTGATCAGCAGCTCTGATTGGTCAGAGCGCGGCCGAGCCCCTCTGTGCCCACGCACGAGAGCCACACACGCCTATTTGCCGCAAAGCATCATGGGAGCTCGTCCAGACGATGCCCAATTATAGGCGAGTTTTGCTAAACTATCGGTGCCTGTGAAGTCCCATGAACTACCGCCCAAGCCATTCATTTGAAGAGGGCGCCATCTTGGATGTGTGTGCGTACCTGTATGTGTGTGTTCCTCTATGTGTGTGCGGGTGTGCGACTGCATGAGTAATGCATTTTCTATTTTGTTGTTTAGCTTTATCTGTGTTTATTTGTGTGTGTGTGTGCAGTAATGTAGTTTCTGTTATGTTGTTTAGCTTCATATGTGTTTGTTTGTGTGTATGTATGCCTGTAGCAAGTGTGTGTGTGTGTGTGTGTGTGTATTAGCCTGTAGTAAGAGGGTATGGCTGTAGTGTGTGTGTGTGTGTGTGTGCCTGTAGTACTTTGTGTATGCGTTTGGCTGTACCAAACGCATATTTTACGAGGGCAACACAAAAATGAGAAAAACAAATTTGTCTCTGAAGGAAAAACTGTGACTTAATTTAAAAAGAACTCGGCCTCATGTGATGCGCAGCCTCAGTCTGATAACGAACCCAATTATCATTTACATTCACTTCCACTTATTGGCTCCGGTTACATCAAAGTCTGCGCAGAACGAGGACGGACAGTCATTGGTTACAAACTTCCAATTGGTTAAAAAATGTGCTATTTATGGAGCTGGGAAATGATGGATCAGAGACAACAAAGAGAGACCAAAGAGGGCCACGGATCCAATCAACATGCACCAGTCAGGTCTTTCACAGAAGGCCATTTAAAGCTGGGGTATGTAACTTTAAAAGCAACAAAAATATAACTCCATCCATCCATTTTCTTCCCCTTAATCCATTTCTGGGTTGGGGGGGTGGCAGTCAGAGCTGCACCCAGTACACAGAGCACCAGCCCCTCACTGATCCTCCTGCAGGTGGTGAGTCCACAGGAGCTGAGATCTTTCAGCGGGGGCTTCAGGCAAAGTGGGGTTAAGTGTCTTGCCCAAGGACACAACGACAGTAGTCATCAGTGGGAGTCGTGAAGTAGGTCTTACGGTGGGCTCGAACCCACGACCTTCAGGCCCAAAGGCCAATGCTCTACCAACTGAGCTACTGTCGCCCCCACAAAAATATAACTATGTACAAAAATCTATGTCACTACTTTAGTATCGTAAGAATTTAGTCTCTGGCTCTGAAACAGTTTGCTTCTATCACTAGTTTGTATGTGTGTTGAAAGTTACGTCCCCCAGCTTTAATAGATCTCCAAACAGTCCACAGTCCACAGTCTATAGTCTTCAGTCTATGATCAACACTACAGTCTATGGTCCACAATTTATAGTCTCGTCTGTGTATGCTGGTTCAGACCCCCGCGGTGCCTGGTAATTACCCACTGGTGTCGGCGCACTTCCACAGATCGACACCCGACTGATTTAAATTAGAGCTGGTGTCAAACGGCAGCGATTCCGAGAGTTGAAATTACAAAACAGAGGAAATTCCATCAGCGAAGTGTAAAATGGGACGAGTGCCGAGCTGCAAACGTCCTGCTGAGATCAATCCCACAAAGAGCCGAGTTCTTATGATGAGAGGCCTGTGTGTTTCTGGCAAGTCAAAGTGAAATGTGAACAGAGGAAAGTGATGCAAAAGTGTTAAACCACAGTAAACCATGAATCAAAAACACTTATTTTTAATTCCATCCATGCAAACATCAAGCACACATGCATCTCCCCTCTATTCTACCTCTTCTACAACTCAAGATGTCTGCCCCTGGTCTCTCCAAGATGTCTGCCCCTGGTCTCTCCAAGATGTCTGCCTCTGGTCTCTCCAAGATGTCTGCTCCTGGTCTCTCCAAGATGTCTGCCCCTGGTCTCTCCAAGATGTCCGCCTCTGGTCTCTCCAAGATGTCTGCCTCTGGTCTGTCCAAGATGTCTGCCCCTGGTCTCTCCAAGATGTCTGCCTCTGGTCTTTCCAAGATGTCTTGTCATTCCCATATTCGTCCGGAAGTTCTGTTTCATCCAATGAGCATACGCAGCAGTAGATTACGTCACGGAATCTGGACGGAAGCAGAAGTAAATATAACAAAATACCTATTCATGCCTAAACTTAACCAGCCATTCCCATAAAATAACCCCAACCCAACCATAACCCTAAACTTAACCATCATAATCAGACGCCAAAAACTTAACCAGTCACCACTTAAGGACATATTACACTTTTTGACATGCACAAACTGAACTTCCGGAGATGTCTGCTCCTGGACTTTCCAAGATGTCTGCTCCTGGTCTCTCCAAGATGTCTGCCCCTGGTCTCTCCAAGATGTCTCCAGGATGTCTACAAAAAAGTCTGTCATTATTCCAGCGATCCGGAGCGACATTCCCACTTGATCCTCTCTCCACATGATCCCACACGCTCTCCTCCACTCCAGGCGGGAGGGTTTCAGAGGGTTTCAGAGGGTTTCAGAGGTTTCAGAGGGTTTCAGAGGTTTTAGAGGGTTTCAGAGGGTTTCAGAGGGTTTCAGAGGTTTCAGAGGGTTTCAGAGGTTTTAGAGGGTTTCAGAGGGTTTCAGAGGGTTTCAGAGGTTTTAGAGGGTTTCAGAGGTTTTAGAGTATTCTGGACTGAGATTCTGTAGAAAGACATGGACTAAGTTATTCTCCCTCTATACTTTAATAACATGTAATATAATATTCATTTCTGTTTTTATCTTGAGTGAGTGGGAGACTGCTGGGTATAAATACATGATGTTACCATGTTGATACATTTTTCACTGCTGCGTTGCTCCAGAAAACTTTACCTATATATACTATAAAATGAAGCCTCAGTCCTGGGTCTACAGCCTCAGTCCTGGATCTACAGTCTCATTCCAGTCTCAGTCCTGGGTCTACAGCCTCAGTCCTGGGTCTACAGCCTCAGTCCTGGGTCTACAGCCTCAGTCCTGGGTCTACAGCCTCAGTCCTGGATCTACAGTCTCATTCCAGTCTCAGTCCTGGGTCTACAGCCTCAGTCCTGGAGCTACAGCCTCAGTCCTGGATCTACAGTCTCATTCCAGTCTCAGTCCTGGGTCTACAGCCTCAGTCTAGACCTTCCCGAGATCTCCCTCTTCCCTTCATATTGTAATTATTGGAATATGAGTTTTTTCCGAGACAGTCCAGACACCTCCTCTTGAGACACTCTCCTGTCTGCATTAAAGCCACAGCAGGTAAAGCCGAGGTGTGAGAAGCTTCATCAGAATCAGACTGTAGAACGAGGACGCACGCAGAGAAAGCGCAGAGGCACAGACCGGACTGCTGCGAGCGCTAATGACACTCTCTGGTCCGTGTGTGTGTTCTCTTGTTTTGGTGCAAATGTATTTATTGTATGTAAATGTGTTGTGTTCAAAGGAGACGGAGAGAAGAGGATTTTATATTGACTTGTTTTTGTGCGGAAAAGTTACTGTCAAAGGTTTTAAATGTGAAGAATTTAATCAGAGAGAAGCTAGAGAGAGACCAGAAAGAGAGACCAGAGAGAGAGACCAGAGAGAGAGACCAGAGAGAGAGACCAGAGAGAGAGACCAGAGAGTGAGGCCAGAGAGAGAGACCAGAGAGAGACCAGAGAGAGAGACCAGAGAGAGAGACCAGAGAGAGAGACCAGAGAGAGAGGACAGAGAGTGAGGACAGAGAGTGAGGCCAGAGAGAGAGACCAGAGAAAGAGGACAGAGAGAGAGAGGACAGAGAGAGAGACCAGAGAGAGAGGCCAGAGAGAGAGACCAGAGAGAGAGACCAGAGAGAGAGACCAGAGAGAGAGACCAGAGAGTGAGGCCAGAGAGAGAGACCAGAGAGAGACCAGAGAGAGAGACCAGAGAGAGAGACCAGAGAGAGAGACCAGAGAGAGAGGACAGAGAGTGAGGCCAGAGAGAGAGACCAGAGTGAGCGAGGACAGAGAGAGAGAGGACAGAGTGAGAGAGGACAGAGAGAGAGAGAGACCAGAGTGAGAGAGGACAGAGAGAGAGAGAGACCAGAGTGAGAGAGGACAGAGAGAGAAACCAGAGAGAGAGGAAAAAGAGAGAGACGACAGAGAGAGAGGCCAGAGAGAGAGACCAGAGAGAGGCCAGAGAGAGACCAGAGAGAGAGGCCAGAGAGAGAGACCAGAGAGAGAGACCAGAGAGAGACCAGAGAGAGAGGCCAGAGAGAGAGAGACCAGAGAGAGAGACGACAGAGAGAGACGACAGAGAGAGACGACAGAGAGAGACGACAGAGAGAGAAACCAGAGAGAGACCAGCAATATTTGACACTTTCCAACATATTTTTCACAAAGACTTCTCCATTTGGGCCTTGTCTTGGTC